ATCCATGAAGCTATGCAACTTGTGTCCTGCTGTTGTATCTATCATCTGATTTACTCTTGGCAATGGAAAGTTGTCCTTAGGGCATGCTTTATTCAGGTCGGTAAAATCTACGCACATTCTCCAATCTCTACTACTTTACTTCACGAGAACTGGGTTTGCAACCCATTTTGGTTATTTTGCTTCACGGATAAATCCATTATGAAGAAACTTTTGCACTTCTTTGTTCAAGGCTCCGTACCTTTCTGGATTCAAAGGTCGACGTCGTTGCTGTCTGGGCCACACCATGGGATTGGTACCCAATTTGTGGTAAATGATTCCTAGATCAATCCCTTCCATGTCTGAATGGTTCCTGATGAAAACATCAAGGTTATGCCGAAGGAACTCCATGATTTGACCTCGGAAGGATAGTTTCTGTTCGTGGCCTATTCTGAGCTCTTTTGGTGTATCGTCTGGTCCGACCTCCACTCTATCCATCTCTTCCACAGGTTCTCCCCCCTTTTCTCTTACACGTGGGTCTAGCGAACTGAGATCGGATTCCATCTTATACACCATAAGAACTTCTGAGCAATTTTTTATTCGATATATCTTAGCGATATCTTTGTATCCCTTACCTTGTCCTACACCATATGGTATGGGAAATTTAAGAGACTAGTGGTACGTTGATACAATTGCTCTGAGGTTGAATAACAGAGGCTGTCCCATAATGGCGTCGTAAGGAAAATTAGAATTCAACACTACAAACTCTGCATTTAGTTTAGTTCAGCGTGGAGCTTCACCAACCTCAATAAAGAGCTTGATCATCTCTCTTGCTTTGGTGAAGGCCCCATTGAGTCCAAAAACCACATTCGGGGTAGGGTTGTAGAAAACTCAATGGAATTCACATCCATTCCAACATGTTGACATAAAGTATGTTAAGGGAACTTCCTGTATCAACTAAAACCTTAAGAACTATTATTCTTGCTATTGGTATTGAGATTACCATGATTCCATGATAAGGATATGAATCTGTGTCCTTTTCTTTAAATGAAAGCTGATCATCCATAGTTCTTCTGCGATGTTTCTTGGTAATGTTGATCTCAGTGAGGTCGACAACAATAGGTCTTTTTAATCTTGTCTTCCCTACTTGCCGATTTTGTTGGCTACCCAACATTTGGATTAGGGGGCTAGGCAAATCAATATTACAAGCCCTTACCTCGACCTGGTTCCCACGTACTATATCGACTCCATTTGGGATAGAGAATTTCATGCAATAATGATATATCGATGTGGCGGCTTGCAACTCATGTAGTATGGGCCTTCCTAATATGATATTATAGTTGGAAGGGAGATCAACAACAGTAAAATTTACTAAAATCGTTCTTTAGTGAGGGAGTTTGCTAACTCTACACTTAAAANCATGCAATAATGATATATCGATGTGGCGTCTTGCAACTCATGTAGTATGTGCCTTCCTAATATGATATTATAGTTGGAAGGGAGATCAACAACAGTAAAATTTACTAAAATCGTTCTTTAGTGAGGGAGTTTGCTAACTCTACACTTAAAACAAATTTTCCTCGCGCTTTAATAGGATCTCCGAAGAACCCTTGCAACCTCCTGGAATATGGCTAGAGATAGCGTTCTTGGATTCCCATTTGTTCCAGTGTTCGAGAGTACAACACATTGACTGAACTCTCATTATCAACCAGAGTCTAATGCACCTGTACCCCTGTGACAGTCATAGTTATCACCAGTGCATCACTTTGGTCTTGTAAAATCCCATATGAATCTTTTTTTGAAAATCCAAACCATCCCAAGTATGATGCTATGTTAGTCTTAGGTTTTGGTAACACCACATTATAATTTTGCCAGATGCGGGCATTGCGTACTTGTCTACGCCTGGCTTTTCTGGACCCTTCGAGGTACTGATTGCCACTTATTAGAGTTCTGATCTCGGCTCGAGGTAGGAGATCCTGAGCTTGTGAGCCTGGCTGAGCTCGTTGAGCCATTCCTTGTTGATTTGCTTGTTGATTGCCTACTTGGTTTGTTTCTCTAGGCTTAGCTACGAACTCTTGCAGTTGACCTCGTCAAATTAAGGATTCCACCTCTTCCTTCAAATTCCTGCAATTATTAGTGTTATGTCTTGTCGTCCTATGTTATCGACAGTACCTCCCTTGATTTTTCCCTGCTAACTCCTTTTTCTGGAGTGTGGGTCTACGAAATGTCTCTTTTTCTTCCGCTTGCAAGAAAACCTCCTCCAGGGTGGCATTTAGTGGATGATATTCATAGAATCTATCAAAATATTGCTTAGGACGACCCTGATCTCTTCTGTCTTTTCTCCTTTCGCGGCTGAAACCTTTATCCACCTTTTTCTCCTTTACTTGATGTAAAGACGGTGGATTTGGTTTGGGTTCCTCCTGGTCGGACATGGCTTCCTCAACGCTTATATGTTTTTCAACTCGGCTCAAGAACTTATGGTACGTTCGAGGTCCATCCTCATGTACAGACCAACAAAACCTCGTTCTTGGCCTTATCCTCGAAAGGACTTCTATAAGGGCGGTATCATCGGAGATCTTCTCAACTTCCATGAACTACTTGTTGAATTGGCTGAGGTAACTTTTGAGCGATTCAGTCTTTCTTTTGTTTAATGCTCACCAACCGCTCCTTGGCTGTGATCCTAGCTTTTGAACCCAAAAACTGGGCAAGGAAAGCTATGGCAAGATCATTCCAGTTTTTTATTGATCTTTGATTAACCTTCTAAACACTATACCAAAAAAAGCTATTTGTAACACTAAAAAGGCAACATTTATTGATAAATGTTGCCAAAAGGGTCTTTTGGCAACATTTTAATAAGTGAATGTTGACATTGGTTAATATAAATGAGTTTTGGCAACGATAGACCCCCCCTTTTGCAACGTTTATTGAATGTTACAGAATGTTTTACTTTTTGAAACGTTTGATAAACGTTGCAAAAAGTTTCAATAGCTTAACTTTTTGCAATATTTGTTAAACGTTGCGAACGATCACTTTTCGCAACGTTTGTCAAACGTTGCGAAAGTTGTTTCTTTTCGCAACGTTTGAAAATGTTGCTAAAACTCTCAAATTAACCCAAACGCTACCCTTGTTCATGCCTCCCTCCCTCCCTCCATTCATTCCTCTCCAACACTGTGAGAAAAAATGAAAATGGCTTCTTCTCTCTTAAACCCAAGCAATCCGAAACCTAATCAATTTCCTCTCTTACCACCATTTCACCCCCGCGGACTCAGCCTTGGACTTTGTATTCGCATTCAATGATGTCAACTTTTCAGATCGAATTCTCCAGATCGAGATGCTACCTGAGTCGCCTTGTTCAAAGCCTGACCCGAATGTCAGCCTCTCCGATTGGGCACGAAACCACAAGCGCCGACGGAATGAACATCTTAATACAGCTAATGGTACAAAATTTTATTTACGTTGTTATATGTATAGTTTAATTATTTTTTAGTTTAATTTTTTTAGTGAGGGGGATTTTGATGGTGTTCAATTTTGGTTGTGAATAATTGGAAATGGTGTTGGGGGTCTTCAGTGTTTATAGGTTTTGGGGGTTTTTGTTTTAAGGTTGTGGATTGGGAGTTTTCTGAATTTCTTCATAGAAAAGATTTTTTGCGAGGAGTTTTTTGAGTTTCTTCCACAGAGGATGCTCAGTTGACTCCTTTATTAGGTCTGGGAACTGGAGCTTGTGCTGGAATAATTGCTAAGTTTGCAACATACCTGATGGATATGGTTTGAGGTAGACTAACTGTGCAGGTATTGAGAGTCATCCTAATCATCTTAAAAATCGTCGTTTTTAGAAATCGTGTTGGCTTTATCTGAGAACAAATGTAATTTCTGTAGTGTATTCCAAATCATAATGTATATTCCTTTTCTCGTGTTGCAAATAGAACAAATAGAGGAATGTTACATGCTTTGTCAACTGTGCTTCGTGAGGAAGGTTTTTGTGCTCTGTACAAGGGTTGGCTTCCTTCTGTCATTGTAGTCATAAGTTCAGGAACTATTATATCTATGTAACTAATAGCCATGACAAGTTTACAACATTTTGTTTCAGTCAACTTACATAACTTGATGGGAGTATTCCCAAGAAGACTAGGAAGAGAACTTTGATTGTGATTAAGTTACTAATTTTTATGAGTTATAAGCACTTAGCTATCATGCGATGGGAAATTACTTGTATTGAAGTTACTGTAGGCCATTCACATATTGTGTACCAGTAATTGATTAAGATTTATTTGTAACATCTACACGTGCCTTCTCTTACTCAATACAGGTATGCATTTCCTATTAAGTGTACGGAAGTAATTCTTGGTGATGATAAAGAGACTGTTCTAGAAATTTGCACTGAATATGACCATTTGAAGAAAACCAAGCCAATGGTACTCATGTTAACATTAATTGATAAATTTGAACGGTCACTTCAGAGTTTAGAACTTTCTGCATTCATTATGTTCTGTTCTGCAGGGGGTGCTACACTGGGTGGCAGAATCTGCTCTCGGGGTTGATCCACTAAAGATAGAAATCAGATTGTTTGACAAACTCTTCATTTTCGAGGTTCAAAATCTTTCCTTGTGATACATTTTCTTTCAGTCTTAGCACACACTCTTTTTTTGCATTGAATATGTGGTTGACATTTGCTAGTTTATTATTACATACAAAATCCTGTTGAACTTGATGACTGGCTTGGTGATTTGAACCCTGAATCTAAAGTAGTCATATCTGAGGCGTATGATGTGCCTTCACTTAGAGATGCTATGGTTGGAGACATATTTCGATTTGAAAGGCTTGGTACATTCCTAACTTCTAGCTCTTTTTACTGTTAAAGATGATTATTTTCTTTTGTAATATGCCTATTGAATTTATTATGTACGTTATGTAGTTTCAATAGGGAAGGAGCCACCATGAATAATCTTGATTCAACTGGAGTTCCAAGTCCAA